AGAAACACGGTTCAGGAAATTTTTAGTTAATAACTAAGTGCGTGTAATTTGAGAATGTTGTGGCGTAATGATTACAAATCATTTTACGTATATCAATAACAAATTATTTTAGGAAATTGTTATTCGTACCTCCCATTTTTGCTTTTCATACCCTTACCCAGGTATAGAAATTATTTAACCAATTGTCACATGATATAGTTGTAGAGCAAACCAATGTATGGCCTTTATATAAATAATATTATGGCTAAAAAAATGTGAATTAAACTTTTATATCGTGATGATAATCAGTTATTTACATAGAAGAGCAAAATGAGAAGTACGAATAGCGATGCTCATCATCTTGAATTAAGAACTATAATTTTTGTATTTTTATATCATATGACAATTAGTTAAATCATTTTTACATGGGTGATGTATAAATAGCATAAATGGGAGGTTCAAATAGTATTGCCCTTATTTTTTTTGGACTTTTGGATTTTTTTTACTTATGATGATTTTAGATTTTTGAGCAGAAAGGACCGAAACGTCCAAAGGCCTTTCTGTCCCTGTAGGCAGTGTAGTCCTTATGATAAATTCATATAAGAGATGATTTGGTAATAGGAGGGTTTGATCACTTTTTGTCCAAAGCGAAGCGAGGACTCTACGAGACAAATTAAGCAATGTACGACGATTTGATGGTTCCCGTGCTGATCTGCAATCAATGTGAAATTTTTTTTAGTTTAATTTTATATATGTTTGTGAATTAAAATAAAAAAATTTCATTGAATTTGACTAGGCGATTGTCAAGTAATCTTCGTTCAAAGTTTTGATGCCTTTAAAAAAGAAGCTTCAGCAAAATTTATGAAAATATTTATTTGGTGCAGGGTGCACTGTGTGCCCCCCTATGAAAAATTTGAACCTAAGAATAGTTAGGGTTAGATTAGGGTTAGTGTAGGGTTAGAGTTAGAGTTGGGTTTAGTGTAAAATTGCGAGAGGATCATTTTTCATTAGTTACTCGACGGGGTTACTCTAGTAAAATTTTGAGTTATAGAAAATTATAGCAAAGGGTGCACACGGTGCAGAGTGCACCAAAAAATAATGTCCTTAATTTTTAATGAATATTTTTCGATAACCAGCTATTCAAATTCGATTAAATTTTTTTTCAATTAAAGTTTGAATAAGTAATATTTGCCTAATTTTGGAATTTTTTCTGATATTTTAAGTTTTTTAAAAACTTTTCGCGATGATTTCTCAACAACTACTGAACTAAATTCAATGAGCTTTTTTTTATTTTAATTATACAATACTACACGTATAGAAATAAAAGAATAATTTTTACTGAACTTAATTGGGTGATTATTGAGAAATCATCACTAGAAGTTTAAATAACTTTCGAATTAATTAATAGGATCAATTTTTTATGAAAAGCCTACCTATTCCGATCACCTACTGCGGCCCAAGTATGGCACAAGATCACGGGATCAAGTGCAATTTATTGCATTTCTTGCATTTATTGCAGTTATTGCATTTATCGGATTATCGCATTTATCGCATTTATCCAATTTGTCGCATTTATCGAATTTGTTATAATACTGAATCTTTTATTATAAATAAAGGTCGCAAAGCCCTTGATAACCAAGTTACGTGCTGCATACAAATATCGTTCCCTAATAAAGAATACCTCTTGACCCATAAAACCCTTAAGACCCTAAATAAATACATCTTAATAAATACTCAAATCCAGATCTATCACTAAGTGACATAGTGAAAGGTCTTCACTCGCATAATTGCCTTGCTCACGTGACATCGTCTACGATTGTTTTCCGGTTAATTCTCAACGTACTGAGGACTGCCGTGGTTTTCCAACTCTCACAACGCACTGTGGAAAGTTGTGGTTATTGTGTTCAGGTTTGAAGTCCAAGAGGAAGGACCAAGTCGTGGTTTATTGTATTTGATAGTAGATAGAAAGAAGAACCGTTATTGTGTAGTATTTGGATTCCAGATACCAGTAAAGAAGTTATACCTACGACACAGAATAAACCCACTCACCAATTATAACCGTCTTTCGACTGAGCCGATCTTCGACTCGCCGTTACCAGGTTTCACTATCAACGAAGTGACAAGGCGATATTGCGAGATCAGATGACTTTATGTTCACGTTGTCATTTATGGAATTTGTTAGATACAGGTACTTTTCTGGTTAATATGATGATTGCATATGATTGTTGAAATGTGAATTACCATAACTATTAGAGAATAGGGGTAATCATATGGTTCTGAGTATGTAATTAGTAAAGTATTTAAGGGCTTTTAGTTAGTAGATGAAGTTATCTTTCTTTTTGCTATCTCTCGCCTTGTAGTGAAGGTTGGCTCTGTCGTATATAAAGTTACTATCTATCTGAAGTTGCAACTTTAGATATATAAAGTTGCACCTAACCAGAATTATATGTATTAAGATCTAATTTCAAATGCTTAATTTTAGTCAGAACAACTTTATATATCTAAAGTTGCAACTTCAGATAGATGGTAATTTTAGATACGACAGGATAAGATGTGAGTGTTTGTAATATTCTTTGGAGACATAGACATTTTAGAATAATTAATATAAAACTTGAAAATTATAGCGAACAGAATTCTCATGTTTTTTCTTCGTGTAAATAAAGTCAGCTGGTCGGGCAATAATAATTGGTTGTTTCCTTATCTTTGTTGCGCCACAAACCTGGCAAATTTGATACGTCCTGTACGTAGGTATACTAATGTACGAATAAGATTGTCCATTTATACAAATTGATTATCTATTTGTACGAATTTGATTGTCTTTATAAATTTGACAAACTTGGTATATAAAAAAGTACAAAAGAAAACAGAATTTTGTACAAAAGGAATACAATTTAGTATATAATGACAGTCAATTCAGTACAAAAGGGCATTTGAATTGTCATAAAAGGATATTCAATTTAGTACAAAGTGATAGTACAAAAGGGCATTTAATTTTGTACTGTCACAGGTTAAAAGTGATATTTCCGATGCTCTATTGAAACTGCTCATGAATCGAAGAATTATGAGGCTGTGAAGAATCTTGGATTATTATGATGCATGAGGTTTAGCATTACCAGATGGTAATTTACGTCATATTTCAATTATTACATCCGATTACACAAACACATCAGAGATGTTTTTATTACGCATAGCAATGTATCTAAACCCGTATGATTTTATGAGATAACAATCGTTAAAATCCCTCAAGTCTCTTGATTTCTTAAATTTATAAAATGATGTATAAATTATACAGTATGTGATAGATTATATGTAAATATTTGTCATGAAAGTACTGTATTATCATAAACACAAATTTATTTGTTACATAAGACCTTTTTTATTATTATTTTTTTTAGCAAATATTTAATAATGGATATTGCAGATCAAAATAATCTTTATATTGGCATTAATTAAAGAAGTACACTTTTATTATCCAGTTAAAAGTTACTAAACAACAATTTGGCGATGAATTTTCTGATTCATTTAATCCGATTCAGAATCCAGCACTAAAATTAGATAACTTATTAACTGAAGGAATCATCGATCTTTCAAAGCGGCTTTTATTAGTAATATTAATTCGTTTACTGAAGAACTAGGCAAGACATTAAATAACATGGCTCAACGGTTGGACTTAATAATTTCAATATGGCCAGTTTAGTAACTAAATGTTTAATGGAAATGGAATAAACGTGAATTACGGCATATATGTTAGTTACAGCACATAAAATAATTACAATGTAAATAACAATGCGGCACACTCATGTTAAGATATACTGCAACTTAAATAAAAAAATTTAAGTTATAACTTAGTTACAATGCATTGAGTTTCTACTGCATCACGAATGTGTACTAAATTTCACTTTGTACTAAATTGAACATCCTTATATACTAAATTGCACTTTGTACTAAATTAAATGTCTTTTTGTACAAAATTTAATCTTCTTTTGTTGTTAAAAACGGATAAATGACCATGTTTTGCACAATAGTATGCCAAGAATGCCAAGGCAAAAAAAAAAAAAAAGAAAAGAAAAAATTGCTCGATTATATAAAATAACAGATAAATTATCTATATTTCTATGTCTGTAATAAATCCCTTTTCTTGAAATGTTATTAATAAAAATAAGGATCATTTTATTTATCTCATTACTTTTATCTGTATGCCAAGCATACCAAAATTTTGAAAACATCACATTTGTAAAAAATGAATCTGGGTTGATTCCTTGGGATATAGTAGCATGTGGAGATAATTGCGTTGCGATTTTAATGTTAAAACATACCAATAAAACATGCTATGAACCAATTCTTCGATTTAGTTTCGTTTACCAAAATAATGTCCAAAAATTTATTGCTTTGAACTACACAATTCCTTCATCTAACTTCTGCCCTGGCGATTCTGATATTTCAGGCTCGAGCTATGGACTCTTTTGTTTAGTTCCAACAAAAGATTCTTTTATGATTCAATATTATGATGATGATTTGAATTCATTCGGGTTGTTAATTGATCCTAATGGTACTGTAATAAGGTTAGTTCTCTGTGCAAAACCTGTGTAAATTTATATAATAAACATTGCTTGAGGCTCAAAAAACGCAAAAAGATAAAGTATGTTTATTTTCATTCATCAAACTTTTCATTAATCTATTCCTATCGACAGTAACTTCTTTATAGCAACTTCTGAAGTAGATTATTATACGATTTATCAGACTGGTTATAATATATGGATTTTCTCATTTTATGCAAAATATACTAAGGCTAATGTAACACAATATTCTCATTCGTAAGTATATTATTTTAAATTTTTATTTTTTTTTTTTTTGCCTATACATTAACGTAATTCCTCTACATAGATCAATCGATCGAACACTTGAGCAAATACCCAAAGGAACCATATTGCTCCCAGACAATTTTTTTAAGAGTTTTCACAATGATAAATTTAATCAGTTTGCACTGAATAATGAAGGAATTGGTTTCATTTGGTACTTGAACGATAACTCAACAAATAACCCTATTGATGCACATTGGAAAGTTTATATTTCATTATTTTATTTTGATAGCTCTAAATTTCAAACCTTTTTAATATATCAAACCCCAATTTCAAATTTATCACTGCAACAATCAAACTGTGGCATGTCTGTTAGTGGCTCTGGAATCATGTGCTTTTTAGCATTCCAAAATACGTCTAATCCGTCTGCTACTATTTTACTCAAAATTAATTTTCTTTCTTCTGGAGGTGTGAGTGAAATAAAGCGTTCCCAAGATACTTCTCAACTCTTTACAAGTCAGAATCTTGAAACAAATTTATTGATATTACCTTGGGGTGGCTTTAGTTTGATCAATATTGATAAAAATTGTTCATGGTATGGGTATATATTAGGTAATGATTTTAACTTATACTCAAATTGGTCATTGCCTCAGCCGTTAGGATTGCCCAAGGAAATGTGTGATTTGGCCGAATCTACCTCTAATGTATTATGGTCAATAACAACTCAAAATAAAATGTATGTTGTATCTGGATATAATGAAACTAATTGGGGTTTAATCAATGCAGATTTTCCAGCATTAATGCCAGGTACGTACTATTAATGATAATAATTCGCTTCTATTTCTTTTAATTGCGTTTAATAATATCATGACTAATATTTTAAATAGTAAATGATTTCAAAAATCCAATAATTCTTGGAGTTTCACCGAGCATAAATTCAACCATTAATTTAGGAACGGTTGATCCGATATTAATTTCATACAGTGTTTCA